TGGGCTTCAAACCTGTATCTGTGCGATTTTTTCGACAGACTTTCATGTTCCTGGCTCTTTCTTTTTTTAAAACCAGCGTGTATTAAAAAATCTTTCTCACCTGGAAAACCGGATGTAAGTGTCAGGTGTGCATCTGCATTCGGTGGCCAGGATTGGCCCATGGTCAACTCCGTGGTGCCCGCTGCTTCTTTGATGGTCTGGTGTGAATTGTATGAAATGTCTATACCGTCGTTACTGAACTATTTAATGATATTTACAAAGCAAAGTCTGGCACAAAACCATGATTATTGGCAAACTATAATGAATGAGCTCTTAATCACAAGTTAATGTGCTTGAAAAATGTTTGTTAATCACTGAGAGATGAGGAACTCGTGGTCAAGTGGTTAGAACGTTAACATTTTGACCTTGAGACCCAGGTTCGAACTTTACCGTGATCAATTTGTCAAGTATGTGACTTCTTATTATCGGCAAAAAGATACGATTCTAATATACTGGAAGTTTTTTTTTTTAATCATTTCAGACATCAAAAAGGCGATAATGCCACTAAGACGCAGGGGTGGTGGTAGAAGAAGATATGAAAACATTAGTGACGAGAAAGGACAATAAAATAACATAGTACAGGAAGACAGATGATGTCGCATTTGAATTTTTAAAGCAATAAATCTAAAGACAGATCCACAGGCGAGAAAATAAATTATTAGAATAGAATTTACAGTAACATCTAGCTATGAAACCTGTAGTTTGAAAAGAAAAAAAAACTTAACTCATGGACGTCCGTACGTAAAAAGAATCTCATGGGGAAGCCATATCGTTTTTATGCTGACAACGCAAAATCTCGGTGACCACGAGATTTGAGAAAATATAAATATGCACTGTACGAAAGACGGGGGAGGGCAAGAAAAGAACTTATTTGAATAGAATTTACAGTAACATCTAGCTATGAAACCTGGAGTTTAAAAAGAAAAAAAAACTTAACTCATGGACGTCCGAACGTAAAAAGAATCTCATGGGGAAGCCATATTGTTTTTATGCTGACAACGGAAAATCTCGGTGACCACGAGATTTGAGAAAATATAAATATGCAGTGTACGAAAGACGGGAGAGGGCGAGAAAATAAATTATTAGAATAGAATTTACAGTAACATCTAGCTTTGCAACCTGGAGTTTGAAAAGAAAAAAAAAACTTAACTCATGGACGTCCATACGTAAAAAGAATCTCATGGGGAAGCCATACTGTTTTTATGCTGACAACGAGAGAGAAAAAAGAAAGTTAGTTTACAAACGAACAGACAATACGACAAATACATCTACACTTTGTCATTCAGCATTAATGTCTACTAAGGAATTAAGACCAGTCTCTCGAATTTGAACTACAAAACCTACATGAATAACATTTTAGGAATTTGATTAGCTGATCTGTTTAACGATAACAACACGTTTGAATAAAGAATTAAAAATTAAAGATTTAAAGTCAAAATCAAGCAAGGTGATAAAACACAAGGGATTAATGAGTGTGAAAGAGAATGAGAAGACTTTAACATGGAGAAAGGACAATAGAAGAATAGAATTCAGGAAAACAGATGATAATGTTGCATTTAAAGTTTTGAAGATTGTAGGTGGCAGGAAACAAGAAACCAGAAGAGGGTTTCACAGGCAAGTGTGACACCCACCGGTGGTCGCGGTTGCAGTCCAATATGTGACACCCACTGGTCGTGACGCCAATATGTGACACTGCGCCGTCGGCCCGTGGTCAACTCCCAGTTGCGGCGCAAAGCTGTAAGGTTTCTTCCACCAGCGTTTTGGGGTTGACTCTTTGTCGCTGCCACTAGCCTGTGTCCCGGTCGATCTGGTCGTTCCCAGTTCGATATCAGCTTTGTCGTTCCCAGCTCGCCTCCAACATCTGGTCACCGAAGTAACTGCTTTGATCTCAAGTTTAACCTACCCACGTTGTGACTTTGATCTTAGGTAGACGAAATCAATCAGGCGTCGGGCCGTAGTGCAAGCTGAATCCGGGGTAAAGGTGATACCGCACAAGCGTAAGTAAAAAAAAATAATAAAACAAACTCAAGAGGTTCAAATATGTTGAGAAATAACAATTATCTTTATCTGTCTGTTGAATATAGGAGTGTGTTTCTCTCCCGGACCGTTTCTATGGATTCGTGACACTTTTTGCGTTTCTTAAGCGAGTTATGGTATCTTAAATCGTTCGTCAATAAAAACTTGCTTTTGGTAGGAAGAGTAAGTCGAAAAGGACGTGGAAATCTTTCAGTCAGCTTCTGCGAGGCTGGTCTCCAACTGCAACTCAACTCTCCAACTTCTCGAACTAACTCCAAACTCGAATTCGAACTAACTGCCAACTGCCAACTGCCTCGAGACGTTCGTTTATATGGATACCGTCCAAAACCCGGTGTGGAGGCCTGACGTGGTTTGGGTTCCCGATAATTCTCGATTCCCAGCAAGAATTCTCTTTGTTCTTAGGCCAGGAAAATTAATTACTTCCCATTTTTGAAAGATTAATCACTTTCCATTTCGGGGGTTTCTCCCTCGTCCGTAAGGGAAGGTCGGAAGAGCGTTATCCTCCTAGACTCTTCCTCTCTCACAATGGTAACTCATACCAATCCCCTCAGTGGGTGTTAACAACTTCTCCGTCTTTCTCATACATTCACCCCCGCTTATCACCCATGCTACCACTTGACTAATGATCTCTCGGCAGTGTGGATGTGGCTAGACTGGCCCTCATAAAATCATTATCCAGAATTTTGTTTACAAAATCCTTTTTTTCTTTTTTCTTTTCCTTCGGCCAAAACATTTACAAATCCCAGATTGCCAAACAATTCTTATCGCATCATGATTTTGGGGACACTCAAAATCCACTTAGCCCGGACCTCTACCGACTCATTAATCACTGTCAAAACCCGACACCTGGTTTCTCCGCCAGTCAACTTTTAACTGGGTGGTCGTGTTTACCTGAGAATCAAATTCTTTATAAAATCTTAAAATTCTCTTATCACCAGATGCTCATTTTCGAGACGCTATGTCTGAAGTCAACAGTTTGAATAAGCAATAATAATGATTCCCTTTACGATTTCCCTTCTCATGCCAAGATTCGTGCATATCGCAGATGGCTTTCTTCGCTGGAACCAGGAATTAAAATTAAACGATATATCTGAAAGATAATTAATATCTATTCTCCGTGGTGGTCCCAAGCCGAAATTTTTATGACCGCATGCGTCGGTTGGCTTTATTTTTCTTTCTGAATTCTGTTTCGTTTGGCGCGTCACCCCCTTATCGTGACATTAATTAGTTTTGACAGAATCACAATCTCGCTTTTTTCTTTCTTACGGATTTTCTGTCTTTTGCGAAAAGTATCTTTTTTTGTAAATAAAATAAAATCTTCTTTTTTTTAAAGTCGATCAGTCTGTCTTTCGATATAGCTCTTTCTCGCCTTAAGTGTTTCCTGTTTTTAATTTCTATGGTTAATTAGTTAGCTAATTGCCATAGCTAAATAGTGTCACAATCCTCCCCTAACCTATTTTGTCATTTACTAAATTACACCTAAATCCCAATACACTATTTAGTATGTATCATGCATCTGTTCCATGCAATTCTATTCTTCTTTTCCTTTTCACGGTTTCTTTCGTGATCCGTCATTTTTTTCTTCTCTGTTACATGCAATGTAATGCTCTTTTCATTTTCTTTTTCGTGCAATTTAAAGTTCTTTCCATCTTCTTCTGTTTTACATGCAATGTAATGTTGTTTTTTTTTCATTTTCTTCTTCATGCAATTTAAAGCGTGCATGTGCTTGTGGGTGTATGTGTGTGGTTATTATGGCTTGTTTTTCTTGGTCAATGTTTTTCTCTCTGCTGCAGGAGGTTTTTCTGCCGTACGTGTCGGTTGCACTTTAGCTTCTTCTGTCGGCTTTTCTGCAATTTCCTCGTTGGTTCTGTATGGGTAAAGAACACTGCTCGGCATCTCCCTCTCGAGATTCTGCTCATCATCCTCCCAAGCCATACCTTCCTTTCCCAACGCACTTAACTTGTCCCTCAACTGATCCATATCAATCTTTTCTATCGGCTTCATTAGTACTGACATTTTATTCAAGGTAACATTGGAGAATCCCCTTACTATTGGCTCCCACAACACTGTACAATTGACTAAGCTTCTGCCAATCAATTCTATAATTGAATCTTTCTCTTCATATCTTTCTCCTTCCTGTTTTTAATTTCTATGATTAATTAGTTAGCCAATTACCATAGGTAAATAGTGTCACACAAGAAAAGAAATTATTATAATAGATCTTACGATTTCATCTAGCTATTTCAATAGTAAAACGATAATATCTCTTTGCCAAATTCATATGGTCAATGCATCAAACGAGGAGAGCTCATAAGAACGATTACTATGAAAACATTTAGACAGATGTGGGGCACGTCACGGCCGGGTTCGAGGCATTGGAGCCGAGATGCCAGGTCAGGATCGATAACATTGCGTACCTTTCTATGGATTTTGTCAAGAATCTCGAGATATACAGCAGGAGCAGAAGATCAGATATGGCAGCAATATTCATTGCACAGACAAATGGTAGCTGTATAAATGTGCAAGATGAAGTCTGACGAGAAAAATGTCTGGCCTTGTTTAGTGAAATTGGGTTGACGAAGCTGTTCAGAAAACCATCGATGGCATGAAGTCATCGTGGCTGAGGGTTTGAATGTACCGGCCTTGTTCAACTACATATCAAACCAGATTACGCTCTCTCCCCCAGAAACTCTAACAAGGGTCTACGCAAAAGTGTTGAGCTATAAACTGCATGTTGGCGATGTGGTAAGCAAGGGAGAAAACTCAAATGTGCCTGAGTGGGTATCAGCGACAGGGATTAGATAGCCACTCGAGCAGAGGAAGATACTTTAAATAGCATATCTAACGTCAAAGTGTTGAAAATACATTGGCAGAGAATAAATTGTTTCACTTAATTGCATTTTTTGTCTTTTTTATTTGTTCAGATAGACGGAAACGGCGACACATCACTGCAGATAACCTCAGCAGTAAGGGTTTTTTTTGTTTTTTGCTTTCTTAAAATTCAAAAATTTAATGAAAATATCACTTTTGCGCGCTCGTGTTGGTGTGGTTGCGTATGTGTGGGCGTGTATATATGTGTGTAAAAAGGTAAAAAGTTATCATTAAAATCTGACAGCTGATTTTTTGGCATGTTGATGAACAAATTATAAATATAAATTTGGACGTAAATAATAACAATTTTTGTAATATATATATGCATATATATATTTGTCATATCGTAATCTTTATTATTTAAACAAGACTAATTTGAAAGTGGGACTAAGTAATACAATAGAAAGCATTCTTTAGTTTCAGGCTAAATTCTACACAAAGCAACTTCAATTTAACTGTTGACTATTGCAAACTCCATTAGATCTGCATCGTGATAATCCAAAACGAGACTCTTTTGAGAGGAGGGAATGTTGGATCTCGTATTCATTTGCACCTGGTTTCTTAAGTAGCGCTACGAAGACAGATTTACTAATATCCTCCAGTATTTCGCCACTGTCGTATATTTCATTTATTATTTCTGTCAATGCAGAAATCGTCTAAAGCTTAGAGCATTTTTATTATGATCCCATCTGATTACTCCGTTTTGTTCCTCTTCATCTTGGCCACTGCCGATCGTACTTCAGTCCTTAATATTTACAATCCTCCTTTACTTTTGTGTATTGCAGATCTCTCTCTCTCTCTCTCTCTCTCTCTCTCTCTCTCTCTCTCTCTCTCTCTCTCTCTCTCTTCCTCTCTTCGCAGAAATAGTTATCCATTCGCTCCATCTTTGGCGTATGCTTTTCTCTTTCTAGTATATGTGTTAATGCTTTTGATTTTTACAAACTATTGATAAGCACATCTTTTTTTTTCCTGATAGTTATTTTATTCTAATATGTATACATACCTTACTTATAATATTCATTCTTTGCATTTCCGCGAACTATTCGTTGGGCCATTCGACTTTAGTCTGACTATATTTGTTTCTAATTCCTATCATCATTGTTTCTAATTCCTTTGCTCATTGTTTCGTATTCTGTGCCATTCATTTGTCTTGTTTATGGTCTCTTTTTCACCATATCAAGAATTTCAACAGTCATCCACTCTTTTTCTTTTGTTCCGTTTTCTTTTGTATTAACTCTTTCGCCAATGTTACTAGTGTTTTTCTCAATGTGCTCCACTCTGTATTCCTAGTTTCACTCAAATTATATTTGTTTAAAACTCTATCTACATCCATCTCTTTGCAACTTGGGTCATTCAGGAATGTGTTGTATTACAGTTTAAATGTTACTTTGGTCTTCTTTAATTTCCGCAATTATATTCTATGGAAGCATAAAATCAGCACTTGGATAGGGTTTACAGTATAAAACTTCATTTCTGAACTGTTTGTTGATTGCTATGTAATTCATCGCGTTTACCTAGTTTCTCCGTGTTTATAGCTATTCTTGAAATTAGAAGTTGTTTACTATTTGAGCGTTTTTACTGCGCACGGTGTTACCCACCTTCCGCCGCATTCGTTTACAGGTTCCTAGTTCGAAATTGCCAACTGTTTCCCATTCACAATCATTTCCGATTTGGGGATTCAGTTGTGCATTTGGACAGCAACCCCTCTTTCATACATGTTTCGTTGAACGAGACTGACCCGGTACTTTAGTTTAGTTTTTTTTTTTTTCTATTGTATTTTCTTGCAGTTTATTTAAAGGCTGTAAATATTTCTAGATTATAAGAATTTTCTTTTGGAGATAATAATGGTTTACTGATACACATCTTACTAATTAATCCATAGTTGATGGGGAAAGAGGGGGATTCCTACATTTCCCAAGGCTATTTGCGCATAAATGAATATAACGAACTCAACGGGAATTCGAACTAGGCTCTCCGATTAACAATTAAGCCATTATCCATTACACCACCCGCACATCCAAGCTTACAGCGCTTAGTATTCCAAAGAGGTCACCAATCTAGGTACTGACCAGACTGTTTTTTTTTATAATCAATTGTGACTTATTTGGGACCTCCTAAATTTTAACTCACTAAACCCCTTCCCAACTTAAATTACTCTTGCGACAGATCTGCTTCTACTCCACAGCCTCTAGTTGCATCCAATCCTGTTCCAACAAAAGTAATATATTCTCATATTCTTTCTGTTATAGGTTTAAAGAACAACACAACGACTTCCACTGGCAAAGTAAAAGTATTCGTCATATACGCTGAAGATCACCCGTTTCACACGGAAGCGTGTCAGTCATTCGTTCATTATCTCAACGAACACTGTTTCTGTGACGTACTCAACACCTACCCAGAATACGACTCTGTCCCTGTTCCCGACATGGAGAAACACTCTGACTTTGTGCTTGTTATAAACTCCCAGACTCTCTACTGCGAATTCCGTGCGTGGAAATTCCGAGAAACCTACCCAGATATGAAGAGTTACTTTTGTCACGAGCTATTCGAGAAAATTCTCCAGAATGTCAAAGAGTCACCTTCATCCGGCACTTGTGAGTATCTCATGTGCGCAATGGATTACACGGACGACAAATACATTCCCCTTGAATTTGGTAGGTGCGAACCTTTCAAAATAATCGACGATATGACAGATCTGGTGTGCTACATACAGAAGTTAGACCTCAGCTCCATAAAGGGAAGAGATATTCCACGCGTTTCAGAGCACATCTATACATCCCCTGATGGAAACGCCTTACTCTCCGCAATAGAAGACGCAAGGTACTTTGAAAAGACACACCCTAACTGGTTTCAAGAGGAAAACATTTCTGTATCTGTAACGGGGTGTTTATAATAACTTGTTTTTCGTCCAATCAGCTCGCTTAAAAATCTTTCATTTATAGACGAATTGTTTCTGTCGTAATTTGTAAAGTGGCTGTGCGGTGACCGAGATAATAATGCTGTGTTGTTTGGCTGTTATTTCATTAATCCAAATGCGTATTGAGATAGCGAAAGATGCCTTTCAAAAGCTAAGCAAACATTAAGAAACGGAAAAATTTCGTTAGAAACAAAGAAAATAGTACTGAACTATTATGTAATATCAGTCCTATATTGAACTGAATGCTGGTCAATTTGCTCACAGATGAAGAGGGGACTCGACACAACCGAAATATGATTCTACGGAAGGTTGCTATACTTAACATCAGGAAGAGAGAGTTGAAATTTCTAGGACACATAATGAGGAAAGACGGCTTAGGAAATTTGACACACTCAGAACATATTGAAGGCAACAGGGAAAGAGAAAAGTAGTACATAACCTATCGAACGACGAAGGGATGAAGAGAGAACTGAAAGCGAAAAAAATCTGTCCCTACAGAGGGATGCTGAGAATACCAAGGACGCAGCGCATAAGCAACAATCAAATTTTTAAAAAAAGGACATTTATACACAAAATCAGAAAGCGACAGTTGAAATCACTTCGACGCATAATGAAGAAAGAAGGCTTGAAGAATTTGACACCCACAAGGCAAGGGAAAAAGAGATAGGAGAAAGCAGTCGACCTGACGAACTTGTGAGAATAGATGGCTGCACGTGGAGTGACGGGATTGGCAAAGGGGCAAACTTTGCTACGATCTACAAGGAAGTTGTGAAGAGCCATGAACTCCAACTTTCTGAAGGGTCACGGCATATGAAAGAAAAGAAACATGAAGGAAGTAACAGGAAGTGAAACAAAAGTATTAACGGTCTTATTCAAGTCCTGATATATTTCAGGATTTCAAATGTTAACACCCGTCTACCCCAGAGCAAGTAACCCGTCTTCTTGTGGAAGACTGGCGCTGTATAGAAAAACATTGAGAGTGTGTGAGAATTGCTATAGAAAAAACTAGAAAAAAAAATAGTGCCTATATTACTACTGAATTAATTTTGATCCTCATTGGGTACCCTACACTTGTGGATCTGAGATTAATCTTAGCTTGGTAAGTGCCCGTAGTTTGCTTGATATGTCCTAAAATCGACCTCCCTACAAAACTTTACTTGTCGGTCAGGAAAAATAAAATGAAGAAAACACTTTTATGAAAAAAATATATATATTCTGAGAAAAATTCCTTTTTGTCAAAAAAAATCCTTCTTCTATAAAAATCGTTCTTTTTTTTTTTTTAAAGAAAAAACAGGCATCATTTTTCAGTAAAAAAAAAAGTAAACTTTTGTAACAAACAAAAAAAAAGTACCAAAAATATATTACAGGTCTGTCGTGTATGTCTCTTGGATAAGTTACGAGTATGGCCTTTTTATTTGTCCTCTTTGCATGCTTGTTACCTTCATATGTGTGTCTATTTTTTCCGTGTTGAACAATTTTCTACTATTACTTATAATTGACTTATAAACCGTGTGTTTAGCAGGAAGTATAGTACTACACGATAGAGTCACAATGGTTTCCCAAGTTAAATATTATTTATTTTTATATAGACAAAAAATAAAAGACGTATCTGAAAAAATGATGGAAAGAGATATTTTTTTTTTAAATCATTTCTCCCCAAGCAAGACGATGATGTCTCTAAGACACGGGCGAGGATGGAAGGGAATGAGACTTTAGATAGGCGATAGATGTTACATTTTAAAGTTTGCAGGTGGCAGAGAAGCAATAAAGGAAGTTCAACAGTGCGAGAAAAGGAACTGTCAGAATAGAACCGATGGTTGCATCTAACTAGTTCAACAGTACAATGGTGGCACCCAGTTGCTAATCTAGTAACACGCTTCAGTTCACGTAGTCAGGGCACTGAGAAAAAGAAGCTCATCAGAACAGCTGCCATGAAAATATTTATAGAAAAGACAGAGGTAAGCCGCGTCATGCCGGTGGGAGAGTGACTAAAGCCGAGATGCAATGTCAGGACTGATTACATTGCAGACCCTTTTTATTGAGAATCTCGAGGTATATAATAGGAGCACGGGACCAAATATGGCAGCAATATTCAATGCACGAATAAATGGTAGATTTATAAATTGTTATGGTCCGGTTCTTTGTACCACGGTGATAGTCCAGGGTAGAACCAATAAAAAAGAACTCGAACACGGATATGGAATAACACAGATATATTAGAAACAGGAATATATAAAGAGAAGTAGAAAGTGTTAGTACGAACAATCAGGTTTAGTAGTAATTGTCTGAACGCGACTGTTTCGGACTGCCTCTGACTCGACTGACTGACTCGCTCGCTCTGACTGACTAACAGACTCCTGACGGACTTCACTCCAGACTTCAGACTGAACGGTATTTAGTCACCCCCACCACCACGAGGGCATCATGTGGCACAAGGCCGGTTTAATGTGGGATCTCCAAGCCCGTGGGCTCGGCCAAAAATATGCCCATTGAACCCGTATAAACGGGTTCAGGGTAGGTTTACCTCCCCGAAAGAGACTCCGCCCTTCGGCGTAGCCTCGTTCAGGTTCCTCCCCGCCCGAAGGCAGGGAGTTCAACCGATCAGCCTGTCAGCCGGTCGCCCGACTTCGGACTGAACGCTCTGCTTCCTCTTGAGCCGCAGTATTTATTACGTATGGAATAGTTATGAGTAAGGTCCCATAACTTAAATGTGTAAGATAGATATGTGAATAATTATCTAGTATGAAATGAACTAATTTTCCTGGTAGCAGATTCTATATAATCGCTCCATTGATTCTACATAATAATTTCACTTAATGTCAATGGAAAACATGATACCAATAAGGTGTAATGATCTGTCTATATTTCCGTATGAGGCTGGACAAATACGAAAACTTAAGGAATCAGCACATATGCTTGGCCACAAAAATGTCCTAAGCCGGCCAAACATAAACTTGAACACAATATGGAAACCAGTAATACTAGATGATAATAATAATATCAATAATATATATATTATAATAATATATATATAGTATAATAATGATAATATATATATATTATAATAATAATAATAATAATAGTAATAATAATAATATTAATAATAATGCTAGATAAAAAAACAACAATAACAACAAATGATAATATGCACTCTGATAAAAAAAAACTAGTTACTGAGATATTTTATTTTATAAGTCCCCAAGATTAATTCAAGGACATATGGTTCAGTGGATAAAAGCGGTGGTTGAAGTAATCCAAAAGTGACTTGCTCCAAAGAGTTGTGAGTTCAATACCTGGCCACAGCAGACGTGAACAAAAATTTGAGATATCCAGAAAAGGCATGGTACGTGGAACTGGAACAATCTATCCCAGTGGATGAAATAAAGGGTTCGATTCGAAATTAAAACGGTTATCACCTGAAGAAGGCTGGAGTGTACAACGGCCGAAACGTCGTGAATATGACAATAAAGATAAGAACAATAGTCCAGGCAATGTAAATAGTGTAAAAAGGTGCAATAAATTGCTCTCCTGTAGGTTAGCATCAGCCATACTGATGGAAGGCAAACATGCTGAAAAAAAAATAGTAGTTTTGTTATGGAGACCCCAGTTAGCAACTGATTGGAGGTCATTTTCGAAGGCAGCTATCCAGAATAGTGTTGATTTTTTCACTACCCTATCAATGACATCACTTGTCTCGTTGACTGACTCAATCCTTCTTCAGGGTTCCTTTAACTAAAATACTGCATTTATTCTGAAATCTTTCAACCATCAAAAAGTCACGCTTTCTCTTTTAAAATTATAACGAAATCTGTAATTACAATGTTATGTAGGGAGGAGAATAAAACAATTGATTCATAGACTACAATTTAAAATATTTTCTCTCAATGATTTACATGAAACAGAATATCTTTACAAGAACGTGTTCTTTTATGTCACCGCCCCACAGCCTAATGTAGCCGAATAGTAAGTTAACCGATGGGAAAAGAATGTGGAAAATGCCGAGAAAAGAACAATAATAAAATGAAAAATATAAAAAATAAAAAGTCAGTGTAATGTTCCCGCATCGTCGAAGAAATTTTACCTTCTTGTCATCCAGTGTGGAGGGGAAGTAAACAAGAAACTAAATGTGGATAACGAAAGAATAGAATAAATAAAGAAGTGACCAATAGATATCTAAGAGATCAATAGATTTATAAACCTAGCTAAAGGTCAACCAGATTAACAAAAGAAAAAAAACGTTATTCTACCTTAATTCGGGGTGGACTGACAGGTCTTTCTCAAAAGCGCAAAATCCTTTTTATTTCTTTCCCCCCCTAACAAATCATTTCAAAATGCCACTCTGACTTAGACTTATAAGTTATATAAATTATATTAAGAAACAAACAACTTTCAGGGTTTATGCAGTTATAATTTATTTCCTTAGGATTGGAATTTTGGTCCTAATTCTTCAAATCGCCATTTTCATACAAAAATTTGGATGACAAATTTTTCCATTTTTTTATTTTTATATATATATATATATATATATATATATATATATATATATATATATACTAGTAGAGCCCGGCGTTTCCCGGGGATGTAACAGTAAGAGATAGATTAAGTATCGACCATCATAAAGACTGAAAAATAAAATTGACAAAGATTATTGTTTAAGGTTGACGGACACGCATGTCTTAATTAGTTGTTTTTTTCTTTTACGAATTGGTCAAACCCAAACTCAAACAAAAACATTGTTTTCAATCGTTATGATTCTACCGATTGAATAGAATATTATTATAAACAATTGTCTTGTAAATGGAATTTTTAAAGCATTCTGAATGTAAAAAATAAAGAAAAAAAGTGTGCAAGACAATAAGAAACACTACCTGCCCACAAAAAGTGAAGTTTTGTTGAAATCGGTTGAAAAATGTAGGAAATCCGATCCCATATATCAACGAACACACACACACACAACCTGGGTTTTATAATAAGTA